TGTGTGTGTGTGTGTGTGTGTGTGTGTGATTGCCGTATTGGAACTCACTGCACCTATGTGTGTCCCTTAGAGTTACAGGCAGTTATAAATTGATAAATTGTCATGTGGGTGCTGGGACTCAGAATCTCGAAGACTTTTTCTCATCTCCTGAGGATTCCTCCCGTGAATTCTAGCTGGTTTCCCGCTTTACCTGTAGCGTGCTGAGTAAATAATTGAAAGGATAGGAAGGAACTTTATAAACTCAGTTCACTACTAAGAGTGTGCCTACAGGATGCTATTGATGGGTGCTGTGCTTGCTTTCCAGTCTTTTGCAGTTTTGTCATTTAGGATTATTTTGTTCTCTCTATGTCAACATTACTATAAATTTTCCGCTTATTTTTTCTCAATGTCTGCTATATTTTTTTCTTTTGTTTTTTTCGAGACAGAGTTTCTCTTGCTGTGTAGTCAATCCTGGAGCTCTGTAGACAAGACTGCTCTTGAACTCTGCCTCCTAGTATTAAGGGCCTGTGCCACCACTGCCCTACACGTCTGTCGTATTCTACTGGGCACCAAAATTTATCCATTTCTTTATGGTTGTATGTGTAAATTGTTGAAATTTCCTGTTTGTTTTTAATTGTACTTAATTACTTTTTAGCAGTTTCCCAGCATTTGTTCTGTTTTTACTCTTGAAAGCAAAATCCAGTAAGACAGACATACAAATATTTTGTTACAGAAATGGATAAAGTACTTTTTTAATTTGATTTTTTTTTCTTTTTGAGTTTTTTGAGACAGGATTTCTCTATTGCTTTGGAGGCTGTCCTGGAACTAGCTCTTGTTGACCAGGCTGGCCTCAGACTCACAGAGATCCACCTGCCTCTGCCTCCCGAGTGCTGGGATTACAGACATGTGCCACCACCGCCCAGCTTTAGTTTAATTTTTTAGTTATGTGTGGATGTGTGAATATGGGCATGTAAGTGTAGCTGCTCTGTGAGGCCAGAGGCATCATATTCCCCTGAAGCTGGAGCTACAGTTGGATGTGAACTGCCCCCAACTTGGTTGCTGAGAACCAAACAGAGTCCTCTGCTAGAACAGCATGCACTCTTAACCACTAAGCCTCTCCCCAGCCCAAGGCAGACTACTTCTGTGAAAGGAGACACCCTAGATTGAAGAGAGTGTCATCTAGGTTGGGATGGAAAGAGTGTATAGGAGAATGTAAAGACATGTGTGCTTACACTTCTTTTTGTTTTTCGTTGTCTTGGTTGTTGGGGTTTTGTTTTTGTTTTTTGGTTGTTTTCTTGAGTCAAAACAATTTTTTCACTATATATATATATATATATACACACACACACATACATACATACACATATACATACATATATATAAACTCCAGTTTTCCATGAGTTTTGTGAAAAACCCCTAATTATTCAACTTGGAGAACTTGTCTAATAAAAAAGTTTGGTAATCCCTGCACTTGGAAGGTAGAGGCAGGAGGATGAGGAAGTCAAGGCCCTCGACTACACTAGTGACTTGAAGGCAGCCTGGCTGAGATCAGATAGTCTCTCTTTGGTGAGAAGAGAGTTAGGGACCAGGACCTCACAGATGAACTGTCTTGTTTTTTCTCAGAAGCATCTCATTTTATTACACTCTTATTTTCTTATCTTTTGTAGTCATGCCTTTCTTTGATGTGCAGAAAAAGCTGGGCATTAGCCTTGATCGCCACTTCGTATTCCAAAGTACTGAGCAGCCCTTCAAGATTCCCGCTCGATGCCATGCCTTTGAGAAAGAGTGGATAGAGTGTGCACATGGCATCGGCGCTACCCGGGCTAAAAGGGAGTGCAAGATAGAATATGAAGATTTCGAGGAATGTTATCTTCGTTATAAAACGGTCAGTAGGTAACAGTGACGGGAACTGAATGCCTTCCCTTTCCTCCCCCCCCCTTTCTCTCTTTCTCTCTCTCTCCCTCTCTCTCTCTCTCTGGTCATGCTGGGGATCGAATCCAGGTCTTTGCACATGTTGGGAAGGTGCTCTGTCACTGAACATTTCTGGTCCCTTGGGCCATCTGCAGTGTGTTCAGTTGGTCTTTGGGCAATGGCTTGCTCACAGGTAATTGACGGATAAAGCTTTTGTCATGAAACATCCTGCACTCAGGAAATGAAGAGCCTCTGAATCTTAGGCGGGCCTGTTCTTCCCTGGTTTTCTTCTCTTCTCTTCTTTTCTTCTTCTCAGCCTGCCCTCGACTGTGACTAGAACTGCCTGTGTGTTCAGGCCGTATCTTTTCAGTAGTCTGTAAAGCTCCCTGGCTTTAGTTGGTTGTTCCTGAAAAGTTTTCGTTGGGTCTGGAGAGATTGGTCATGACTCTTTGGTTAAGAGCACTGACTGCTCTTCCAGAGGACCTCGGTTTCAGTCTCAGCACCCACATGGCCACTCACAATTATCTATAATTACATTTCTAGTGGATCTGACACCAGGTGGCCTCCGCTGGCACCTGGCACACATGTGGTGCAAAAACATATATGGAGGCAAAACACCCATACACATAAAATAATTTTTTTAGATTTAGAAAGAAAAAGTTGGGGTGGAACTTCCACCATCTTTGAGCCCTCCTTGGAGACGCTCTCAAACCCTGTAGATCTATTACAGGGAACATGATGGAACCAGCTGGATGTATTGCTGAAGAAAATGGAGGCGTTCATTAATGACTGCATTAAGCAAACTTGACCAAAGGTTCAGGGAGGGAAAGGTCTTAGCAAATGAATTGCATAACATGTGGGCCCTGATCTTAGAGAAGAAAGCATTGGCGTAGGCCATCATTTCGTCTGTTTTTATGTTGCAGGTATACCAAGCAGAAATTATTCACTTGTTTATTTACTAACTTACTTATTTTTGAAACAGGGTCTCATGGTATAGCTCTGACTGGTATGTAACTCACTATATAGACCAGGCTAACCTCCTACTTTCATGTGCCTTTCTCTGCCTGCAGAGTACTGGGATTAAAGGTGTGCACCACTACCCCTGGCTGAAGGTTTTTATTTTGTCTCCTAGTCCAGGGAGACAATCTAGATTTTTAAATTTACAGCCAAGTTACCTGGATCAAAAAATTTCAGTAGTTTAATTGTGTGGTAGCACAGGTCTTTAATCTCATGACTGCGTTGTAAGTTCCAGGCTGACCAGGGATACAAAGTGAGACATGCATGGCTCAAAAGAAAGAAAAAAAGAAAACAAAAAGAAATTTAGAGGGGCTGGAAAGATGGCTCAGCGGTTAAGAGCATTGCCTGCTCTTCCAAAGGTCCTGAGTTCAATTCCCAGCAACCACATGGTGGCTCACAACCATCTGTAATGAGGTCTGGTGCCCTCTTCTGGACTTCAGGCCTACACACAGACAGAATATTGTATACATAATAAATAAATATTTTTTAAAAAAAGAAATTTAGAAAGAATGAGGGAGTGTCATTATTTTTTTATCTTATTTTTTTATTTATTTTGTGTTCTTCAGCCTTGCAGGTGCTGGTATTAACACATATAATCCTTAATGCCCAGCTGTCTTTAAATATTTTAAGTCATATTAGGATGTACAAATGTATTGATTTGTGTGTCTGCATGTGTGTTCATTGTGTGGGTGAATGCATTTGCATGGTAGGTACATGGTGAAGGTCAGAGGACATCTTTGTGAAGTTGATTCTCTCCTACCATGTGGGTCCCAGGGATGAACTAGGTCTTCAGGCTTACATCAGCTCCTTTACCCACTGAGCTAGCTCACAAATATCTCTCTTAATAGTATTGTGATTATATATATGATAACATGGGGTGTTCTCATGCCTGTGTCACAAAGTCATTCTATCCTCATATAACCTTAATTTAAACCCCAACAGTTGTTGATGGTGGTGTTTGAGGCAGGGGCTTACTGTAGCCCAGGTGTCCTCTCCCAGAGTGTCCTGAGTGCTGGAATTATAGACAGGAGCCACAATGAACCATTTACAAACTATTTTGTTTTGATTTTTGAGACAGAGTTTTTCTGTGTAGCCCTGGCTATCTACAAATATATATATATAGCTATACATGTATAATGCACACACACACACGTGTATATATATATATATATGAAATCTTGAGTCTGTCATCGTGGTGCACACCTTTAATCCTGGCAGTCAGGCAGAGTCAGGCAAGTCTCTGAGTTCAAGGCCAGTCTAGTCTACAGAGCAAGTTCAAAGACAGGGTTACACAGAGAAACCCTATCTTGAAAAATCAAAAAAAGATAGGAATTTATTAAACGTTGGGAATTAATTTCCAGCTAGTCCTTTTCTCTGTTTTTCAGTTCTTTAAAGCTTAATTTAGTAGGCTAGAGAGTTGGCTCGGAGTAAAGAGTATTTGCTGCTCTTCCAGAGGATTAAATTGAATTACCAGCACCCACGTCAGGCAGCTTACGACTGCCTGTCCCTCAGTTCTCACTTCTGTGGGTATACACGCTCATGTGTACACATACACACACAAATACACATAAATAATTATTAAAATATTCTTGTAAAATGGTAAACTTCAAGTCTGGGTGGGGCAGCATTTACCTAGCATGTCAAAGCCTTGGCTTCAGACCTCAGCACAGAAATTTTATTTTATCTTTTTGGGATTTTGGTTTGTTTTTATTTTTTGAGACAAGGTTTCTCTGTGTAGTTCTGACTGCCCTGGAACCTGGCTATGTAGACCAGACTGGACTGGAACTCACAGAAATCCTCGTGCCTCTACTTTGGCCTTCTGAGTGCTGGGATTAAAGGTATGTGCCACCATGCTTTTTAAAAAGCTAGAAATTTTTAAAAACAAAGACAGAAGGAGACTCCATCTCACTGGACTTCTTGCATAAAAGTATTCCTGAATTTAACAGTGAAACTACAGTCTAGCTTTTTCTCAAGCCTTCGTTTTCTGGGGCCCGTTTCCCCTTACCTTAATGCCTTTTTTACCCTTACAGATGAAGCGCCTGGGTGAAATCAAACGACAGCGGGATAAGCTAGTTAAAGAGGGGAAATACACCCCTCCGCCTCACCATGCGGGCCAGGCGGAGCCCAGGCCCTGAGCAGAGCAGGCGGACGCTGCTCTTGATGCTGTTTGCCGCTGGAAGAAAGTAATGAAAGCTGCTTCATCGAGTACATAAAATAAAGAATTAGTCAACCTTACCTATTGTGTTTTCTCTTGGGCCGTGCTTCGCAGTGGTGAAAGGTTATCTAAGTCCCCTCCTGATTAATGCCTGAAGAACTGAAGCTGAAACTGGGGCTCAGGGCAGCCAGGTGTTCGAGTGCAGTTTGTACGAGGCTCATTATCATCACACCGCCTGTGATAATAGGGCTAGGAGTTTGCAGTTGAGCAGTGAAGGCTGCTTCGCAGGCCAGCTGTGCAAGGTTATTTAAATGTTCAAGCATGTTGTTTGTCTTCAGAAAAACACCTGAGGTACAGGAATATTATTTGAGGAAGGCTGCAAGCATTCCTGTGTTCAAATGTCCCTCTTGAGAAGTAGCAACATGGCATGTTCCCATGCCTGTACCACAAATTTATTCTATCCTCATGTAACCTTAATTTAAACCCTAATAGTTATTGATCGTAGTGTTTGGGGCAGGGGTTTACTGTAGCCCAGGTATCCTCTCCCTAAGCCTCCTGCCTGCTGGAATTATAGACAAGAGCCACAATGAGCCATAATCAGAAGGTAACTTGCATTGATTGGATCTCTCCCTCCACTATGTTTGCCCCAGGGATCAGACTCATGTCTTCAGGCTTGATGGCAGGCACCTTTTATTTAGCTGGTAAGTCATTTCACTGCCCACAAATTACTTTGTGTGTTAAATGCCTGAAGGCCTGGTGGTGAAGGTACATGCCTTTCAACCCCAGCACTAGGGAGGCAGAAGCAGATGGATGCCTTGTAAATTCAAGGCCTGGTCTACAGATTGAGTTCCAGGAGGATGGCCAAGGCTACACAAAGAAGCCCTGTCTCCAAAATGAATGAATTTAGGTGGGCAGTGGTGGAGCATGTCTTTAATCCCAGCATTTGGGAGGCAAAGGCAGATGGACCTCCCTCAAGAGTTCAAGGCCAGCCTGATCTACAAAATCAAGTTCCAGGATTGCTAGGACTGTTACACAGATAAACCCTGTATTGAAAAAGAAAAAAAAAATGTCTGAACCTATGCCTTAAAAGTTAGTATTAGAAAATAACATTTTTTGAAATAACTTTTTTTTTTCTTTAGACAATCTTAATAGTCCTGTTCCCTGGAACTTGCATTGTAGACCAGGCTGTCCTCAAACTCACAGATCCACCTACCCGTGCCCTCTTGAGTATTGGGATTAAAGGCCTGCACACTCTCTTACAAAGCCCATTAGTGTCTTAATAGAAATTGGCCAATGTTCAAGTTCATATTGGGCTATAAAGACACCAGAATAGGCAAAACAATAATGAAAATGAATAACATGGTTGGGAAACTTCCAGTTCCCTATTTCAGACCTCACTACAGAGCAGTAGCAACTAATGTGATGTGCACTGGCACAGGGACCAACAGCTTAGCTGAGAGGAGCCCATGTCCCCATAGAGCTATGGTCAGTGGGTTTTGGCAAGAATATTCATGACCATTTATTGAGGAAAGAACAGACTTTCCGGGTTCTGGGAATTCAAACTCACGTTCTCGCATTTTCCTGGCAAGAATTTTAATATACTGAGTCATCTTCCCAGCCCCGGCTCAGAGAATTATAACCAAGGTAGATAGAGACAAGAGTGCCAACACAATCTCTTGTGTCTAACATCATAATCGTTCAAGGCCGAGCGTGCTAGGCACATCACCAAGTTTAACCTTCAGGGCACTTAAGGAAGAACCAAGATGGCAGATGGAGCAGTGGTTCTTGACATGGAACTCAGAGAGCAGTAGGGAGGAAATACAGGCACAAATAATCACTTCCAGCAGATGCCTCACTCAGCCCTACAAATCTTATGTGACGACCCAGGAGGAGGGAGAAAGACTTAAAGCAGAGGCTCTTACCATAGGTAGAAACCCCTTTGGGGGAGGGGCCAAATGACACTTCCACAGGCATCGCCTCAGACTGTCAGAAAACATATATACTACGATTCATAATAGTAGCAAAATTACAGTTATGAAGTAGCAAAAAAATAATTTTATTGTTGGGGGTCAGCACAGCATATTGGCGAACAGTAGTAAACGGTCCCACCATTAGGGATGTTGATGTCAGCACACCTTGGGGCTGGAGACTTAACTCCTTTACAGTAAAGGGGCTAGCTCTTTCCTTATGTGGGAGAAGGGAACTGTTTCCATTGTAACTGCCCAGAACATTTTGTGCTTAGTTGTTTCTATCCTGGGAGAAAGAAAACATTTTTGCAATGAGGTAGCAAATCCTGTAAGGATCCCTGCCAGGGACTCCCTTCCTCACATCACATTCAGTCTTTACTGCAGCCATCACTTCCCAGAGATGATACCGGTTTGATACATAGGTGTCAAGTTCCAGCTTCAGGACCCTGAGCAGATGTGAGGTCAGTTTGTAAACTAGCACAGATGGTACCCTATTTACACAGAGACGTATCTGGCTTTGACCAACTGTTTCCAGACAGAAGGATGGGACTATGGCGACAGCACCCAAAATTTGATGATAACAGAAACCTTTATTCTGCTCTTGTTGTTTGTTTGTTTGTTTTATAACAGGGTTTCTCTGTGTAGCCCTGGCTGTCCTGGAACTCATGTAGACCAGGCTAGCCTCAAACTTGGAGATCTGCCTGCCTCTGCTTCCCAAGTGCTGGGATTAAAGGTGTGTGCCTCCACTGCCTCAAAGAAACCTGCATTTTTTTAACCAGAAATCTGTATTGATGTTGTTGTTTTAATGTTGAGCGTTTGTTTTGTTTTGAGACAAAGTCCCACTGTGTAGCCTGAGCTGGCCTCCAACCCCAAACCCTCCTCCCTCCACCTCTCATGCACTGGGATTCCAGGCCTGTGCCTGGGTAAAGTGTTTCAAGTATTCAGCCCAGTTTCTGTCTCTGGAAAGACAGAGTAGACAAGCTTTTCCTGAATCCTCTTACTCAGTACAGCTAAATTCTGGACACTGTATATAAATGGAACAGGCAGATTCAATAAGAAAAGAGACCTTCTATGTACCTTGTGACCAAAGAATGACTTGGTGCCGTTTCCTGGATGTTCTTTTTGTCCCACATATGTCAAGATGGATGCTGGAGAGACACCAAGAACCCAAAACTGCCAGTAATGGTGCCAAGGAAAGTCCTGAGGAGAGCCTGCTTCCTTAGTTAAAGGACAAGAAATGGTGCTGGAGAGACAGCTAATGTTTAGACAGTGCCATCTTGATGCCAGCCTCATTCTTACCCCATCACTGGGCCAAGTAGAAAGCCTAGGGCTGCTAGGCTGACTGTGATGAAGCCCCTCCACCTCCTCTCCAAGTGATCAGAGATTCAGTCAGGACATCACCAATAGTGAGGCCATCCATGTCTTTGCACAATAGCAGTGGAGGCCCCTGGGAGACATAAAGAGGTATCATCCCATACCCAGCTTGTGTGGTGTCAGTGGGGGCCTAAAGCAGAAACTGCCTAGTGTTTAGAAGGACACCCCTCCCTCTCCAGCTCCAGCTGCAGTGGAGACCAAAGGGGACCCTGGACTTTCGCACCCTCCTGGCATTAGGGGATGCCATCCCTGTTCTTCCCACAGAGCGGTGAAGGAGGAGGAGTAAGCTCAGAATAAAATGAGACCCAGAGGTTGATCGTTTCCAAACTATCCTAGTCTCGATCCAAAACCTCTTCTCATGCTAAGAACCTCACAGATTTAACTTGAGGAAAAGGGGAAGCAGATGACTCAGTGGGCAAAGGTGCTGTCCCCCAAGCCTCGCAACCTGAGTTTGGTCCCTGGAATCCACACAGTAGAGAAGCCAGTTCCCACATCTTATCCTCTGCCCTCCATGATATCCTAATGGGAGAAAAATTATTGGGGGCTAATTGGGGTTGTGGAAATGGCTCAGCAGTTAAGAGCACTGGCTGCTCCTCCAGAGGTTCTCAGTTTGATTTCCAGCACCCACATGGTGACTCACAACCTTCTGTAAGTTCAGTCCCAGGGGATCCAATGCCCTCTCTGGCACCAGTCATGCGAGCGGTGCACAGACACGCATGCAGGTAAAACACCTATTTACATAAACATTTAAAAAATATTTTTAAAAGAAGAAATAAGAAGGGGCCAGTGAGATGGCTCAGGAAGTAAAGGTTTATGCTATACAAACATGGCAAGCTGAGTTCAGTCCTCAGAACACAAGTAAAGGTGAAAGGAGAGGACCAGCTCTACACATCTGACTTCTGACCTCCACAAGCTCACCTTGTCACTCACACATACATATACAGATACACACACACAGGCACACACAGATACACATACATACACACACAGACACATACATATCCACACACACACAGATACACATACACACACATGCAGGCACACAGATACATACACAGGCACACACACAGATATACACACAAACAGGCACACACATAAACACACAGAGATACACATACACACAATTGATAAATCAGTTTTCAAAAGCTACATAAGTGATGCTGACAAGAAAGCATCACAAAGAAAGCATGACAAAGAAAGTTTGGTTGAGAGCACAAACCTCTCTCGAAGAGGACCCCAGTTCAGTTCCTGGCACCCATGTTAGGGAGCTCACAACTAACAGTAACTCCAACCCTGGTGTGTCCAACATCTCTGGTCTCCTCAGGAAATATGTGCAGATTTCCACACATAGACACATGCATACTTACAAATGATAAAACATTAGAAAAAAACTAGACTGGATGAGGCGGCAGATGTTTGTGATTCTAGCACTTGGGAAGAAGGATGCACAAGGACAAAGAGTTTAAGGTCATCCCCAGCTTCATAGCAAGTTAAAGGCCCCAAAGCCAGTCTGGGCTACCACAGACAAAAAAAAATCATTTATAAGCTAGGTAGTGGTGGTGCACACCTTTAATCCCAGCACTCAGGAGACAGAGGCAGGTGGATCTCTGAGTTTGAGGCAGCTTGGTCTACAGAGTGAGTTCTGAGACAGTCAGGGCTACACAGAGAAGCCTTGTCTTGAAAAGCCAAAAATAGATAGATAGATAGATAGATAGATAGATAGATAGATAGATAGATA